AAAAAAAAAAAAAAAAAAAAAAAAAAAAAAAAAAAAGGAAAGAAAGAAAAGAAATCACCCAGTTTTAAAACACTGGCAAAGCAAACGTAAAAGAATTATGTGGGATGAACAAAGCACATCTGTGGGCCAAATCCTGGTAATTTACAACCTCTATCCTACTGGGTCAGGTCTAAGCTCCTTAGCTTGGAACTCAACCTGTCCATCCCCTGATATTTGTTCATTTCCCTCCACTTCTCAACTGCACTTTTATCCTCTTCTCACCACACCAGCCCACCTGTGGTGCCCATACCCCGGTCTCTCCTGTCTTCATTGCTCTGCATTGCTGGTCTCTGTCTACAATGCACATTCTCCCTTTCTCTGCCTGGGACTTTCCTACGCAATTTCTCATTACTCAGATCAATCCACACTTCTTTTGAAAACTATCCTTCTCTTTCTAAATTTAGGTGATCTTCGTTCCTTTTTTTTTTTTCTTTGACAGAGTTTCACTCTGTCACCAGGCTGGAGGGCAATGGCATGATCTCAGCTCACTGCAACCTCTGCCTCCTGGGTTCAAGCTATTCTCCTGCCTCAGCCTCCTAAGTAGCCGGGACTACAAGCATGCGCCACCATGCCCAGCTAATTTTTTGTATTTCAGTAGAGATGGGGTTTCACCATGCTGGCCAGGATAGTCTCGATCTCCTGACCTTGTGATCTGTTCCCTCGACCTCCCAAAGTTCTGGGATTACAGGTGTGAGCCACTGTGCCTGGCCCACTCTTCATTCTTTCTATGCTTCCGTGGTACCCTAAACTTATTTCAACCAGATCTCTCATTACACCATCCTGGAATTGCTGGGTGCCTTGTCTGTTGTTCACCAGCTTAAGAACACCCTGAGGGGAGGGACTTTCATAGTCTCTGACCTGAGAATCTAGGTATGGAGTGAGAAATATGCCAAGAAAGTGAAAGTAGTTTAATCAGAAGGTAAAATGAAAATTCAAGTAAGATAGCCGTAAGCCTGAACATTTGAAGGTCTAAGAGGTGATAGCAGGTCATAAGCAGAGGTCAAGGCCAGGAGTCAATAATCAGGATAATTAAAACAGGTTTAAAAGTGAAATGCGGTGAATGGTTTAAGATATAAGCTGTGGATGAGGTGAGGGTGTCTGGGGCCTGATTTTACAGGGTGCTGAGAGTGTGACAGGCAAAAAGATGGGTCTCACTGCCTTACTATGTTATTACTGGGTTCTACTACCAGCTTGATAGTCTGATGAGTTTCTCTGTTTCAAGGACTCATTTTCTCAGCAAACATCTACTGGGTATCTACTCTGTGCCAGGCATTGTTAGGCATCATAAATATGGAGAGGAATCAGATATGACCCCTGTCCTGGAGCTGAAGGTCTAATGGAGGAAATGGACATATAAATAGATAATGAGAATAAAATGCAATCTATACACAACAGAAAGAAGCACATGGGGACTGTGATAGCACAGAGGAAGGGCTCCAGATTCACTAAGACACAGAAATGGTAATTTCCCTGAGATCAGACAGTACAGAGGTGCACACTCAGAATTAGAGACCAGTACCGTTAGACTTACAAGTCCAATTTTTTTCCACTGTAGGAAACTGGGAGAAGACAGAAATCACTTTATGGTTATGGAGGAAATGTATGTGTGTCAGCTTGGTTAAGCTGCAACTGTATGGTTCTAGGTTAAAGTCAGTTAAGCGTGACAGTTGCTTGAGATCTGGGAGGCAGAAGTGAATCGGCAGCCATTGCTCTCCGAAGGTCATGGGTGTTCCTTACAGCAACAATTGAGAAGGCACCAGCAGGTTCACTCTCCTCCACTCCATATCCAGCTCTTCCTGACTGCTGACCCTGCTGACCAATAGTAGTCCAAACCAGCACCAGACATGTGCAGTGGATCCACAGCCTTCTGTAGACGTCTCCATCAGCTCCTCCTCTGTAGCCCCTTTACAGCTTCTGAGTGTGCTTGGCTGCTAGGATTGGCTTCTTCAGTGGAAAGAAAGAAAAGGAAGACAGAAAAAGAAAGAAAACCAAAAGAAAAGTAATGGAATAGACAGAACAATGGACTAAGATTAGAAGTTTAGCTTCACCAACATATCCATAACTCCAGTACCCTGCATTTACTAGTTCAGAAAATATTTGTTCAGTTGGATTGAATGTTTAGCTTGCTTTAGGTTCTTTACTGGTACAAGTATCACTGCAAACAACAGCTTCTAGGAAACTTTTGTTTTTGCTTCTGTTTTTTTTTTTTTTTTTTTTCTCCTATGGTCAGTTCAAGAATGTAGAGTCATTTATGGCTCACATTTTGAAGTTTTGACCCAGGACAGTTTCTGTTGTGTTGGCTTTATGTGCTTTTCATCTCCTGGGGTATGACAGATCTTCCTCTGGCTTCGATTTTTCCCTCACTCCCTCACCTTCTGTCCCTTGCAAAAACCGAGAAAAACCTCACTCTTGTGCATTTACTCCAAAGAAAGTATTTCACACTCTAATCAGATAATCAAAAAAGACATATTGGGTAACCCTTATGGGAATGCTCCTCTGGCTTGGCTAGGCTGAAGTGGGAGAAACAAAAACATCTGGAAATTGAGGCTCTGCTTACTCAGGTTGGATGGACAGCAATCAACTCTGAAACACTTAATTGCATGGAAATTTCCTCTTTGCTGCTTAGACCATTCAGCTTTTATTGGGAGAAGACATGGTACATGCTCACTTATCTTCTGGAAAGCTGGATTAAATGTTATATTTCAATTAGAAAGCCATTTACGGAATGTCTGTCCTAAACCACTTCCTCTACTAGTTGCTGGAGATAGTGCCTTGAGGTGTTTTCAGCTTATGGGGGAGGGTAACACAATGAGTTATAGCACAAGTCAGCATATAAGTGCTAGAAAAGAGGTGCAAACAAGGCATTATGGAACAGAGAATGGGGCAATAGCTGATAAAGGGGTGGTGGAATAGGGGGAAGAAACCTAAGAGGGATGTTAAAGAATGTATAGGCAGAGGAAACTAACAGTTATTAAGCACTGAGGTTTTACAGAGGAAGGTGAACAAGACTAACAATCATACACTGATAATCTATCCTGTGCCATTCATTGAGCTAGGTGGTTTACATATTTTATCACATGAAATCTTCCCTAAAACTGGCCGGGTGCAGTGACTCACACTTGTCATCCCAGCACTTTGGGAGGCCGAGGTGGGCAGATTGCTTGAGCTCAGTGTTTGAGACCAACCTGGGCAATACAGCAAAACCCCATCTCTTAAATAAATAAATAAATCTTCCCATAACCCACCTGGAAGAAACTGAGGCACAAAGAGGTACTGTAATTTGTGTAAGAACTTGAAAGAGGTAGAATTGGGATTCAAATCTAGATTTCCCTGACTTCCAAGAACATTCCCTGCTCCCCCTTGTGCTTGGATAATTATTTTCAAAAGACAGTGAGGGCCGGGTGTGGTGGCTCATGCCTGTAGTCACAGCACTTTGGAAGGTCAAAGTGGGCAGAACACCTGAGGTCAGGAGTTCAAAACCATCCTGACCAACATGGAGAAACCCTGTCTCTCCTAAAAATACAAAATTAGCCAGACATGGTGGCACATGACTGTAATTCCAGCTACCCAGGAGGCTGAGGCAGGAGAATCATTTTAACCTGGGAGGTGGAGGTTGTGGTGAGCCGAGATCGTGCCATTGCACTCCATCCTGGACAACAAGAGTGAAACTCTGTCTCAAAAAAAAAAAAAGAACAAAAAGTGAGATAGATTATGAAGAACAAGAAGGATTTTGACAGACTTTGAAATGCTAGAAGGTGCAAGGGATGAGGTAACAGAGTTCTAGGCAAAGGAATAATCAGAGGGGTAGAGCCACAGGGCAGGGTGTGAAGGTGCAAGGCCTGTTTGAGGCACTGTAGGCAGTCTAGTGTGACTGCAGGAAGACACTGCCACATGCCCATACTACTGTCTTCTCAAATTCAACAGGCCAGTCAATTCAACACTGCTGGGGATTCAGAGCTCAAAAGCCTCAGTCCTTGCTTCCAAAGAGTCTCCAATCAATTAATGATCGATGAGATAACTGCCATTATCAATGATTGGCTTGTATGTTTCAGCACAGGATATGTGTGAGCATGTGTGTTTGTGTGTGTATGCACATACTCATACAAGCATTATTTGGACCATTTCCTTTCCATAATTATTTCTTGACACATGTACTCCCTGGGCTCTCTATAAGCGTGTGTTCCTTTATTACCTCTGCCTTTAGCAGGGCTTGAATTTGAACTACTGGCCTTACAGTGGTAAGTTTAAAGCCCATAGCATCTCAACAAGTGCCCTTTCAACCCGAGAAAGACCTGACTTGATCTTCCATTAGCTCACTTAGAAAATAATGATCAACTCTGGGGTTGCAAAGAAAAGCTCTTAATTGGAACTGACAAGAGGGTGGACACCTTCTACCACTTCTCTGCAGACTTCACAAGTGTTCAACACTTCTTGAAAGAGAGTATGCCTCCAAGCCTCTCATTTAGCTGGCTGGAGCAGAGTTTTAAAAATGCACTTCATCTCTGGCAAATCACAGCAGAACGTCATCAACAGCTGGAAACTCTCTGAGGTGAAGACAAGTTGGATATGTTTGGATTTATAGCCCCCTACCCCATGATAGCTGATTTCCATTTCTGACAGGGTTATTATTTCCATCTTTATAAAACATCTCAGATTTCACCTTGGATAATTACTGATTATCATCAGCTCCTCACCTGAGGCATCTTAGCACTTGAGTGAACCTTTAAAAAAAGGGCTTTCCCCAACTCCCCCAAAAATGAACTGGGGAAAACTCAGTGTGTGAGACTATGTCTTTATTTCTATTTTCATTTGCAATCCCCTTTGGTTTTCTAATGATCAAGCCATTCATCAGTGTCAACAGGCAGTGTTTTTGCCAGTTGGGTTCCAACACGGATTAAATGGTAATAACTTGTGTTACTAAGTCTGGTGGTACTATGGTAAACATAGATCCAGAAACTTTTAGGGCATAGACAAGATCTCAGTGGCCATCTAAGGTTTTTATTCAAGGATATACATCACAATCTTCTATAATTTGATAGAGCTCTGCAAGTTATTCTGACAAGTACTCCCAGCTGAGGACCACTAAGAGTCTAACATCCCTCATCTTGTTTTTCAAGGTTGCCATTCTATGTGTACATGTTTTATGTCTTCACGTCTTTGCTTTTCCTATTTCCTCTGCCTTGCTATCTTTGGTACTCTCTCCTCACTACTCCGCCTGGTGAAATGCTATGTACTTTATGAGGTCTAGCCCAAAGGCCACCTCTTCCATGAAGCCTTCTGTGATGGAAGGAATCCTTTTTTCCCTACTTTCATAGCACAGCATCTTTATGAACATCCCCTGTTATTACCTTCTTCTGTAATGTATACAGCTATCTGCATGTCTATCTTTCCATCCCATCTTTCTCACTCAACCATGAGCTCCAGGAGGATAAAGGTTGTAACTTTTTAGTTTTTTTTTAGTGACAGGATCTTGCTCTGGCACCCAGGCTGGAATGCGATGGTACAATCACAGCTCACTGCAGCCTTGATCTTCCAGACTCAAGTGATCCTCCTGCCTCAGCCTCCTGGGTAGCTAGGAATGCAGGTGTGTGCCACCATGCCCAGATAATTTTTTATTTTTTAATTTTTTAGACAGAGTCTCACTTTGTTGCCCAGGCTGGAGTACAGTGGTGCCATCTTGGCTCACTGCAACCTCTGCCTCCCAAGTTCCAGAGACTCTCTTGCCTCATCCTCCCGAGTAGCTGGGAGTACAGGCATGTGCCCCTATTCCTGGCTAGTTTTTTTTTTTTTTTTTTTAATTAATAGAGATGGGGTTTCACCATGTTGGCCAGGCTGGTCTCGAACTTCTGCCCTCAGGTGATCCACCCGCCTCGGCCTCCCAAAGTGCTGGGATTACAAGCATGAGCCACCATGCCTGGCCTCGATTTTTGATTTTTTTGTAGAGACAGGGTCTTACTATATTGCCCAGGCTGGTCTTGGAACTTCTGAGCTCAAGCAATCCTCCTGTCTCAGCCAGCCAAAGTGTTGGGATTATAGGTGTGAACCACCATGCCTGGCCTAAAGGTTGTTCCTTACTCATCTACATATCTCCAGGGCCTGGCATGGGATGGGGCCGGGTGCTCATTCTTTGAATAAATGAGGAAGCTGACACCCTAAAAAGTGAAGAGACTTTACATCCACTTAATTTAGTCAGACGTAGGCTTTCTCTGCATTTATTCAGTAAATTGCTTATAAAGAAAGATGTACAAGCATGCTAAGAAGAAGGACCTAAAAAGCCATGCCATTAGTTTTAAATATTATTTCTAAAACATCACTTTCCCAACAAAAGCAATAATAGCTGGTTTAATCTGAATTAGTAATGATAGAATGGATATCAGCTAGTCATGATGGCTCACACCTAATCCCAGCACTTTGGGAGGCTGAGGCAGGCAGATCACAAGGTCAAGAGATCAAGACCATCCTGGCCAACATGGTGAAAACCCATCACAACTAAAAATACAAAAATTAGCTGGGCGTGGTGGCTCATGCCTGTAGTCCCAGCTACTTAGGAGAATCACTGAACCCGGGAGTTGGAGGTTACAATTAGCTGAGATCGAATCACTGCACTCCAGCCTGGTGACAGAGTGAGACTCTGTCTCAAAAAAAAAAAAAAAAAAAAAGGAAGACTGAAAGCAATCTCACAAGATTCCAAGTCTTAATTGACTGGCTCAATCAGTGGAAGAAATATTAGCCTGAAAATCAGGAGACCTGCTTCCTGGTTCCTGTATGACTTTGAACAAATTACTTCACCTTTCTAGGTCTCAGATGTCTCTTATGTAAGATGAGGCCATTAAAGTGGAGTATCTCTGAGGTTTCTTCTAGCTCTGAGGTTCTATAGCCTTAGCCAGTATCACAGTTTCTTTAGTTTGGCTCTACTCCATATTTAAGAGAATGAAATATTCTTA